TATATATATATATATATATTTTTTTTTTAAATCTTATCAGACATTGTAACTAAACATTTACAAACTAAGTGATTAAAATTGTTTTAACAGTAATAAAAAGTAATATATACAAATGATAGTTTTTTTATATACTTTACTGGCTACAAATATTTTGCATTTAAATTTGAAATTGATAGAAATACTGAATGAAGAATTTATCTTGATAAGTAATATTATAAATATGTTTCTACAAAAAAAGATGTGTTTTTGGAAGTTAATTGCTGATATCAAGAACAATTCTCAAATCTGATGATATAGCAGTAGTGATTTGATGTCATATAGAAGTTATAGTTCAGGTGAAGGAAAGCAGTGTTTTTTGTTAATGTTGATATGGCCCTAGGGTTGCTTGCAGAACATGCTTCATGTTTCTTCTGTGTGCTCTTGAATAGTGAAAATTTTAACGGCTACTGTAATTTTGTACTGGTCAATCAAATCTTTTACATTTTATTCTGTGCCACAGTGTCTTAGTTATTTATTAATTAATTAATTTATTTATTTGTTTTTGGTAAACACAAAGCTACACAAAAGGCTATCTGTGCTCTGCCAATGTTGAGTATCGAAACCAAGTTTCTAACATTGTAAGTCCATGGACATACTGCTGTGCCACTGGGGAGCCACTAGGTGATACACCTGTTTGATCCTCTAGATGGTGGTGACAAGAGGGGTACCTGCCAAGCTTATTTGAGAAATACAGACACCCAGATGACATATCTGCATTATTTATAAACATGAAGATTAAATATGATTATACTGCAGTGTAAAGTTACTTATCTTGTACTTTTATTCTTGACAAATTGAAAACTATAATAGATAGTTATAAAATAAAAATTGTAGAAACCTTTAATCTGGCAGTCTTTAATATCAAATGTTGAAATATTTTAATACAACACTGTCTTAACTGTAACATATTTGCAGTAAAAGACTTCATGTTTCTATAAATGCATTAATTCACTTGCTATAGATTATGGAAGTAAGATGTTTTCTCAGTGCTATGAACTTTATCTATGCTCTATATAATCAACATTTTGTTAGCATCTAACAAGTATTTACTTTCTACTTTGAGAAATTTATTGTGAAAAGAAAAAACTCTGCATTTTCTCATGATTTATAAACACACTGTAGAACATATATATATATATATATTATTTTGTTAAACAAGACCGATGTCTGTAGG